CCGGATGGGGCGCCATCTTGAAACGCGTCCACCATCTTGGCCCGGAGGTGACGTCATCGTCATGTGCGCGCACCCACCGGAACCGGTCGTGACGTCATCGCGATGCGTGCGCACCCACCGGAACCGGAAGCACCGGAACCGGAACACGAGTGATCTCCCCCTGATGGCGGCACATCCGGTCCCCGTGGGTCGCCATCTTGATCCAAGATGGCGGCGCCCATGGGGACCGGATGTGCCGCCATCTTGAAAATCCCGCCAGGGAGACGTTACACACTACTCTTAGTTTATTGGTTGAACAAATTTAAATTTTTAGGAGAATAAAGTTACCTCCTAAACATAAAATGAAAATTGGGCGGTGTACATCTCTCTACACCGTGACACATACTATCCCAAAAAAGAAACGCATAGGCGTTTGTATTTTTAAACATCTATTAATTACCTATTGTGTTAAAAAAATCGTCAAAATATGTAACAAAAACGTTGATAACATTATTTTACACAATTGCACAAGTAAAAAATCGACTTTACCTGAAAATGTTGATTTTGATGAGATTTCTTACAAGGATTAAAAACGCATCGCCACAACGCAGCAAAAATCACCATCCAGCTGAAATTGTGCAGCAAAGAGCATGCACTGTCTGGTTATAAAAATGCAGATTACTTTGGGAAATCGGCATTCGTTTTAAAGGAGTTTCATGGTCAAATCACTACGCCACGTTTTGACGCTGCGACACGGAACATCGCCATTGAAAGAATGCACGCTGGAGATTACCAATCTTCTATTGCCAGGCGTCTGAATGTTAGTCTGAGCACGATATCACGGCTTACAGCTCGTTACAACCAACCAGGTATGACAAATGACCGTCCCCTGTACAGGCAAACCTCGAGTCACCACTGCAGCCCAAGATCGGTACATCCAGGTACTTCTTTTTGCATGATCGTACTGCCACGGGTGAGAGCACAGCAGCCAGGGTGCACGTGCCTGGACTTCGGAGGATATCCGGTCAAACTGTACGGAACTGGTTGAGAAAAATTGGGCTGAGAGCCAGGAGACACGACGTCGGGACCGTAGTTACGACGTCACCATCGCGCTCAATGTCTCCGTTATCTAAAATTATCCACTATAGGTTGTATAGACATTTCCTTCTTCTAAACTGATGTAAAATTCATGCACTAAAGTCTGATTGTGGACGAGTTATACATGTTTGAAAATACAACATTTTAGAAACAGATTTCTGGCCTATGCGTTTCTTTTTGGGGAGAGTATAGTTTACTCTGCGAAAAACATAAACAACACACAAAAACGTGATTATAAACAATGCTCTCTCTCTCTCTCTCTCTCTCTCTCTCTCTCTCTCTCTCTCTCTCTCTCTCTCTCTCTCTCTCTCTCTCTCTCTCTCTCTCTCTCTCTCTCTCTCTCTCTCTCTCTCTCTCTCCCTTTACCTCAGTTTATATCTCACAGTTTTTAACAGACAGGCAATTTCAAGTCCGAATGGGTTCAACAGTGTCTTTAGAGAATATTTGTAAAGTATATTTTACCAGGGAGGCTATAAGATTATCCCTGATTTTACCAAATCCAATCCTGCATATGGCTGTGTTTTAATCCTCCCAAAAGGAACTCTACAATCATAGATCATTACTTATTCCACCACTTTGAATAAGAATAGAAACGGACACCCAACTAAGCATCGATAGTTATGTGATATCAAACCGACTACAGGTTAAACCGACTTGTGTGTCAGTTTCAGATTTCTGGTTATTATATGTCGTATTGTCCATTCCAGATATACATATGAATATTTGCTGAAATTTGAGGACCCTCCGTCCTGTGTCCCTTTTAAGATGAGAGAATCACGGTAAATCCTGTCCAGCTTGACTGTATTGAGTTTTCCTTCATACGGGATAACTATTTCAAAGCTTCATCCATGGAGGATCGTTTTAATAACTTTTGTATTCATTTAATTGTTGATTTGTAAAAAAAAATTGAATTGCTGGAAAATTATGATTTATATATTTTGTAGATAAACGTATGTTATTATACAACTGGTCATTGAAACTAGCAACTGGGATTGTTCGTTACTGTATCCTTAAAGAGGGGTGGGGGTGGGGGGTGTTATAAATTACTGTGAAGCATTGTGCTCCCGCGAGTGTACGTAAGTCCCAAAAGAATCAAAGTAGATTTAGGCCTTCCAGGATTTTATCGTAGGATATTTGTTGTTTTACGCGATGGCTAGATACAATTTCAAACAGTATCAGATGTTATTATTTCGGTGGGCGCGGTGGGCGCGGTGGGCGAACTGGCTAAAGCCCCAGGCTAGTGATCCAGCGAGCTTGAGGTGACGGGATCGAGCCCACCTGTGACCGGGTGTAAAAACCTTGGAGTCAACTTTGTGTGCAGACTCTTTCAGTGTTGTCACAACCCCTAGTGTACAGTACACAACCCTGTGCACTTAAAAGAACCCACGAATCCGTTGGTATATGACCAGATGGTGGCCACATGAATACGTGCAAACACCCAGTTGCGGGTACAGCAACGTGCAGTGAACTTGGACAAAGTACTGTGACTATGTGTCCCAGTCCACCCAGTTGTGAATGAGTTCCTCGTAAGGATGGGAATGCCACAATAACTCGGTGCGCCTAGTGGCTGCAAGAGTTGTATGCTCCCCAGGGAGTTGAGATTGACAATACGATGTGCCGTTGAGATTGACATCCAGTGAACGAGGGAAAAACAAAGCGCCTTTGAGCAGCTGAGCTGAGCTGGATATCGGCGCTATACAAATGTTAGTATGTATGTATGTATGATGTTTTATAAAACACTATGCATTATCGATGTGTAACTTGCTTTAGTCATGATTTGGCTGAAATGCTGTCGGTGCAACTATATATTTTAACCCACTCACAATAGACAATTTTTATATTGTGTTGTTACTAGTAGCTTTATTAATATACTAGTATTACTATTTTTATCCGTGCTTTCAAGTTGTTTTACAGCCCTTTGATTTTTTTGTCACACATAATGTAGTATTCTTTTATAACTTGTGACAGTCACGGTATGGTTGAAATACTGCCGATTTGACTGGAAATATTTAGTCACAATTATCTTGCACAGTAGATTTGTCCAAAGTTAGTGTTTAAGGATGTTTTCTTATTTACGACGGAATACACCCATACCCTGTCGTGAAAAATACATAAATTGCAAATGTACTATGGCAACTGTGGTTATTTAACATACTCGACCTCCTCTGTGGTGTAGTGGTTACAGCGTCTGCCCCGAGGGCGGAATGTCGCGGGTTCGAACCCTGGCCGCGTCAAACCAAAAGACGTTAACATATTATATACTCGGCATTAATAGGTACAACATTGATCGAAGTCAGTATAATGTGTCTGAGTAGGGTATTCATGGTGGGGCGGCATGGTATGTCAGTGAGCTAGCACTGTAAAACCAGCCTAAGTCTAGGCTAGTACAAGCAGCCACACATACACACGCATGCACGTCGTCATATGAGCGAAATGAGCGACGTCAAACCTCATTTCACCTCACCTATAAAACATACTCAACGAATAGTGATATGCTTTCCTCCCATGGTTTTGGTTGTGTACGGAATTTCTAGCTGAGATAAACGTTCACTTATCAACGTATTTAAGTCATTTCCTATTAATATGTTCTTTCAATACTTGAATTGTACCTTACATAATAGTTCAAGTTATTGTTTTGTAGAGAGTGCAAATAACCAGAATATTTAATTGGTGTAACAGATAAAAAAACAACAACTTCGCAGTTGGATGGGAGATTAAGGTTACATAACGAAGAGAGGTGGTTACCTGTGAAGGTGTCTGTGTGAGTGAGTGACGGTGAGTTTAGTTTTACGCCGCACTCAACAGCTGAGTAACATTTTGGGTAATTGGAAAATTATGTAAACATGTATGTGGTCAATATGCTGGGATAAAACAATTGACTCTCAAAGTTTGAGGCGTTGAAAAGAAGTGAGGTTTTCCCGCTTTTTGCGCATGGAATCGAAATACCTGCAGGCTGAAGGTGATATTGTGGAGACAACTAATTATGTATAGTTTAGCGCGAGAGGACTTCTGTTGAAAATCTTAAATTTGGTTTACGTGTGACTGAAGGCACAATTTAAGTATTTATGGCAGTGATGTCATATAGGTAGTCAATGTGCGAAATAGGCACTGGTCCGCTAGAACGTGGCTAGTAAAAATCCAGTCGGGCCAGTAAACCTCCACAGTCACTGGCCCGACTGGCTAGTGAATTTTCGTGGGGTCATTTTGAGAAGTAGTAACTTTCAGGCATAGCAGGGCATAGCTATCCCGGCTGGCAAGCAAAATTTTTGAAAGTATTTCACTATTTCTCCCACTGCAGGTAGTATTCTTAGGCTTATATCAAATGATGGCTATTGTTCAGATTCTGCATGAAAGTAATCAAGCGCAATGAACACGTGCTTAACTACAGCCTTCTCATATAGTTTTTTTCAATTTCTGTTTTCTCTGTATTTTCTGTCTCCACGAGAACAATTTGGAAATTAACATAAAACTTCTGATGGTTCATTATGGGGACTTCAATTCACGTGGAATATTGCAAGCCTATTAAAGTTAAGCTACCAACTCCTAGCTTAATCGTTTATGGTGAACTTGGGAGATACTCACTAGAAATTAGAAAACATAGACACATTCTATATTCAAGTAAAGTTCTACATTCACCACAAATGTCTATAATGGCATTAAGAAGAGATGCGAATAAAGGGGAAATGTTTATAGATGTCAACTCGTGCAATATGAGGAAGTGTGACGTTTCGAAATAATTCTTACAATGTCATCAGGTGAACGACATTATCTATGGGAGGCAGGTACCTATATGATGTACTTGAAATAAGATAACAACGAAAGCTGGAACCGTTACTAGCAAGCGAAGCCAGTAACAGTACAACAAACTATACTGTAGGCTCAAATGCCCGGCTTCAAATTTAGCATATGGGGAAATTTGAAACGGACTATAGATATGACAATAGCTCTTTGTTCAGTAGTTCATGTTTGGAGGTAAAAACTGTCTATTTATGAAGTCAGTAGTTGACTCGTGGCTGTTGTAGACAGACAGACGAAAGAGTGTATGGATATCACCAAAAACACCGCAGAAATCCCCTTTAGCTCGTGGGTGTTATCGTAACCCTTGGGGCTTGGAGGGGAAATGAATGGAGGACAAGGCGTCATTGCACGCACCTGTTGAGGAGAGTAATGTTAATACGAAGTTGGAGATGGTTCAAGACGTGTGATCAACTCTGGCTATATGCAGTGACAAGTCATCATGAAGAAGAGGTGCACCTTACTCTACATAGCTGATACGCTGTCAGTTGGCAGGTGAAGTATTAATCTATTTTGTCTGAACCAACACCTGTACAAGTCATTCACACTGGTAATGGCTCCCACACTCAACACTCGCAGCTCTGCTTGACCCAGGGAACCGTGTGGTCCATATATCGCCGGCAACACGGACATATTAAAGAAGACTGACAAAGTTGTTAGGTTCGATGTTAACATAAACATGCTTATTATTATATATTCCACACCCTTTCTTTGGAAAAGATGAAACTAAAATAAATTTATGTGTAGGTCCTCATGATTACATATTTTTAGATGGTAGATGTCCGGCACTTCATAATTGTTTATTATGCCTAATATATAAAGCGGTGTGCAGTGGAAATGTTAATGTTAATACTAGTTCGTTGCCTCAAAAACAGAATGTACTAGGTCCTAAAAACCCATTTTCAAGAAAAGTTGAAGTTGAGAACAACAATATTTTCAAAACTATTCAGTCAAATTCTTTGGAATCGTGCACATACATGTGTTCAAAAAGATTTGGAAATAGGGCTGGGACAGGTCCAAATGTTCTACTCGGGTATCCTACCACCTATTACCCTACCCAACCCTACCCTGATACCCATTATGTTAGCTCAGAGGCTAAAATTTCTAGTTTTTCAATATCTTATCCATGTAAAAACTAGAAATTTTGGCCTCTGAGCCGAAGAATATATTGCCATTTCTTACAAAATTGATGTCAGGAATTAATATATAACGGGTATCAGGGTAGGGTAGGGTAATCGGTGGTAGGCAGGGATGGAAATAACCAATTGCCCGACGTCCGAGTCCAGTGTTTTTTTCTGTCAGGCAAGCAAATTTGTATATCACGCTGTACCGGTGTCCAGTTGACTTTCCAATGTTAATAATGTTGTGTATTTAAAAAAGCCACAAGAAAACGGCTGGCATAGTGGAAAAATGATCAGGGCAAGTGAATTTACATGTGCCACTGTACTGGAGTACACTAGCAATTTTAAAGTTATTTCCATCCCTGGTAGGGTACCTGGGTAGAACTCTTGGACCCACCCCAGCCCTATTTCCAAGTCTTTTTGATATAACACATGTATGTGCACAATTCCAAAGAATTTGATTAAACAGTTTTGAAAATATTGTTGTTCTCAACTTCAACTTTTCTTGAAAATAGATTTTTCAAAACAGGTAACTGTATATTATGTCTAAATCTTCAAAGACAATACAACCTTTTAATCATGAAAGAATAACACATTACATTGTTTAATCTATTAGTCACATGATCATAACGGGTCCGGGTATTGAGAGGGTACCAGGGTCCATCTCATTACCCACCCATCCTGGGTATCCGGGTTACCCGTCCCAGCCCTATTTGAAAACTAACCAAAAGTATGTTAAAGCTCTTGAAATACATAGGAAATTAACGAAAAATGCTTGGAGATAGAACACTCGGCCAAATAGACTTGCAATTTTGTTCAGAACCAGAGTGTTCTATAAATCAGAAATGCACTTAAATCATTATTGTACGATTATTTTATGATTATTTCTCCTGTACCAGGTTGTATGTTTGTTGTTTTAACTTGTTTTAGGTTCATAGCATACAAATTACATTAAATAAGTCATACATGTGGGCAATGTTCCATTTGTAATTGTCTATAATGATGATAATAACTCCATACTGTTCCATCTCAAACTGGATTTGCTGACTGGTCCAATAACCACTTAGGATACTCTGGTACTAACCATTTAAGTTGTTTTATGGAGATAAAACAATGTAAAACCTGTGACTTTCTAGGCTATATATCATGTGTATGCATGTGTATGTGTTGAAAAGATACAATGAAATGTCACAAAACAATTAAATAGTTATTTCTGCATGCCCCAACTATGGGATCATTGTAGATTATTGCTCGGAGGGATTGTTGTACAAGCGTGAATGTTCCATAAACTACCCAGAAAATCTCCTCACTTAATCATTTTGTCTACAGTATGATGGCACTACTGGATAACTCTGCAGTGCAACATTCACCATCATATGAACAAGTTTTACAATGAAAGAAAACTTGTATGACAGGCAAAACCGACAGCTTGTTATAGTTTGGGGAAACAAAACTCAGAACATTTTGTCATCCAATAAATATAAATAAAAATATGTTAAACCCATAGTTGTTAAACCTTCCATCAAAGGATTAACCTATAATATGTTGATTGATCAATCACTGTTATCTTGCACAGTGGATTTGTCAAAAGTTGTATTCATCTATGTTTACTAAAGCAAATGGAATACACCCATGTATATGTGCCTTTGTAAAAAACAACATACTGTATTCAAGGGGTTAACTGGTAATATGTTCTTTTATTGTATGTTGTTGTTTACTTAATTAATTGTAAATACACCAATGGCTGTGACATCATATTTAGCAATATTATCCTCAGATGTAAGTTTTCTGATGCAGTGCATGGCTTAGGTGGAGTTATTTGGATCAAGATATTTGAAAAAATATTGTATCAGCTAATATTTTGGGAGTATTTCACAAAACTGTTGAGTCAAATGAGGGTGAGATTTCGCTATTTACAACTTGCACTAATGCATGTTAAAAATGGTTGGTGCAGGTTACCTGTATTTACAGGTTTCACCCTGTGCAGGTAACGATATATCCTCCAACATCTTAATGACTGGAAGTAATGTGTTTCTCTCTGCATGACCTGTTACAAGCAGAAACATTTCTGTAACTCACAAATCAGTTACGTAGCACATTCTTGTATGAGTTTGTTGTCATGGGAAAATGTGGGGAACTGGTGTTATGAGCACACAATGAAGTGATATTTAATGGCAGGTCAGGGGTCACTGTGTTATACGTCATCAATAATGGTTCCCAGACTTTTCAACTGATAAGTAGATCTAAGCCAGGCCAAACTTTCCAAAAACAAGTTATTTCTTGAATGGAATTTTTCTTGAATGGAAAGTATCACGTGTATGAAGAAGCAACCTTTGCTGAAAACGTTTTTCTCATCAGGTGCAAGCAATAAATCAAATAAGGAAGCACCTCACAGTCTCACACCTTCTGAAAATGTTAGCCCCCAGTATAGGCCTACCAAAGAAAACTTTGCCACTGTGCAGAAAAGCGCAGAAAAGCCCACATTAATCGTGGAAATAGCAACATAAACATAATACCTCGCTACTGGAACAGTAAAAACGGCAACTTTAAATCGCTAAAATTGCATAAAAAAACGAAGAGCCTGCAACTTCAATTTTGTGCATGCGCACATGGAAGAGGAAGTCTCGACCACATGTTGACATGTTGGCTTTTCTGCATTTATCTGCACAGTGGCAAAGTTTTCTTTGGTAGGCCTGCAGTACATCTAGTGGTGATAAGTGTAAATTTCCGAGTCCCATGCTGGGATTCGAACCACGGACCTTCTGATCCCAAGTCGGACGCCTTGTCCACATGACCAAAGAGGTTAGCCCCAACAGCAAGCTGACACGGTAAGGATGTCATCTGTGGGATGATTCCACACCCTGCTACACTTAGATGCATGGAGTCAGTCAAATAAATAATCATATAACTGAGATTTGATAAAGGTAATGCAAAATTGAAACAGAATCATTCATCATTTATCTGGTTCTGTTGAATGTACCTGATGCCGAGTACTTGTTATGAAAATTACTATACAAATATTTATGTTACTTTTCAGAACCAGAGACATTTTTTAAGGTGCAACCAAAATTTGTATGTTGCAGCCAAACTTATAACCAACGTTGCACCCAGTGCAGGTACTGAAAAAACAAGGAAATCACACCCTGCAAAAACGTGTTAAATGCAGGCCATGTTACTCCGTGATGTTTATATCTGACATGTCCTTAGTCCTACTATAAGTCACAGGCATTTCGACCAGTGATCTTTATATCTGACATATCCATAGTCCTACTATCAGTCACAGACATTTCGACCATTGATCTTTATGTCTGACATATCCATAGTCCTACTATAAGTCACAGACATTTCGACTAGTGATCTTTATATCTGACATATCCATAGTCCTGCTATAAGTCACAGACATTTCGACCATTGATCTTTATATCTGAAACGCCCTAAGTCCTACTATAAGTCACGGGCATTTCGACCATTGATCTTTATGTCTGACATGTCCATAGTCCTACTATAAGTCACAGTCATTTCGACCATTGATCTTTATGTCTGACATGTCCTTAGTCCTACTATAAGTCACAGGCATTTCGACCATTGATCTTTATGTCTGACATATCCATAGTCCTACTATAAGTCACAGGCATTTCGACCATTGATCTTTATGTCTGACATGTCCATAGTCCTACTATGAGTCACGGGCATTTCGACCATTGATCTTTATGTCTGACATATCCATAGTCCTACTATAAGTCACAGACATTTCGACCAGTGATCTTTATATCTGACATATCCATAGTCCTACTATCAGTCACAGACATTTCGACCATTGATCTTTATGTCTGACATATCCATAGTCCTACTATAAGTCACAGACATTTCGACTAGTGATCTTTATATCTGACATATCCATAGTCCTGCTATAAGTCACAGACATTTCGACCATTGATCCATATGTCTGACATGTCCATAGTCCTACTATAAGTCACAGGCATTTCGACCATTGATCTTTATATCTGATATGCCCTAAGTCCTACTATAAGTCACGGGCATTTCGACCATTGATCTTTATATCTGACATGTCCATAGTCCTACTATAAGTCACATTCATTTCGACCATTGATCTTTATGTCTGACATGTCCTTAGTCCTACTATAAGTCACAGACATTTCGACCAGTGATCTTTATGTCTGACATGTCCATAGTCCTACTATAAGTCACAGACATTTCGACCATTGATCTTTATGTCTGACATGCCCTTAGTCCTACTATAAGTCACAGACATTTGGACCATTGATCTTTATGTCTGACATCTCCTTAGTCCTACTATAAGTCACAGACATTTCGACCATTGATCTTTATATCTGACATGTCCATAGTCCTACT